ATTTATTCACGGCACACCAGGTCACCCCATTTGGGAAGCTGTACTCTCGAGAACATTTTTTGTTATCATTGGAATGCACTATATTCCTCCCTTGACACTTGTTACCTCACTTACTTCATGCAGTCATTCTGAAAGATGTGTGTCACGGGCCCGTAGGTTGCAGCTTTTCCAGGGTCACTGTGTTAAAGGGCCGAGCCAAGACTCATGTCTGGCGCCCAGGTTCTTGGCTACATAGCTAAGCTGACCTCTACGGTACCCTTTGATCCTGACAGTCTACCTTTAAGTGATATCCCAGATGGGACCCATAGGTGTTCATTGGTCCCTTTGCCCTGTTATAAGATTGGCCCTAATGTAAGACATCTCGTGAGAAAGTTTCACAAACTCTCAGCCATAACTTCTTAGCATGAGAGCTGTGATTGTCATTTCATCCTTCAGGACATATTTCTTTGTTCTCTCTTGTTACCAGTTGTCACTGTCTCCCAGCTTGGGGGCAAAAGATGCACTCTTTGCCTCTTTGAGCCAGTCACCATTTCTCTCATCCCAAAAATGTAATTAAAAAGTGCCTTAATGGTTTCCAAATGATGATAGCTCCGTAAACCAATTAAAAAGGCCTCAGTAAAGCTGTCTTGAGTTATTCTCCACAGCTGCAGACAGTACGCTTTGTTTTCTAATGACCCCAACAAGAAGTAAGGGTGATTTTTCTTTTTTTGTGTGGGATGAAACACAAGGAAGGCTTTCTTCCGTCTGCCTAACTGCTCCCTCCGTTTTCTTTTCTTCCCAGACAATCCACGTTGCTATTGTCTGTGCAGGGTATAATGCCAGCCGTGATGTCGTCACCTTGGTCAAGTCCGTCTTGTTTCATAGGTAAGAGCAATTTTTGTACTGTGCAGGCTGGTGTCTGTCTGACCGCTTACATATTTCCTTGGGGAAGGGTTAAATAAGAGCCAAATTTCTCATCAGTCATTCAAGCTGCCACAAAAATGTAATTTTTATCTGAAACCCTGGAGAGATTATTGTGTTAATGTTTAACAGCAGTGATTAGGTGATATCTTACAGTGTTTAAAATAGTAGCTCTCAGACTTCGTAGGACTTTCAAGAATACCCCTAATTTGATGCGTGAATTTCCTAATCTGTTTCCCCTGCCTGGCCGTCACTGGCCCTCTCTGCTTACACATCCCTGTTGCTCAGTTGCTCACTCTATTCCAATGTGACCATCCCACCTCTGGGCATTCCTGACCTTCAGAAGTCCTGCTTTATATTACATAAAAATTTTCCAACCTTAAAATGGAAATGGCCCTAGCAGAATGCCCATGAAACTCATCATACAAAGGATGGATTCCTCTTCACCTAGAAGTTACATCTCTCTCATCTCTTCACCAAGTTAAACTCCTGCTGTTTGCTTCCACTTTCTCTTAGGACTTTTCTTCTGTCCCCTCACTATTTTGATTGATATCAAACATACTCAGCTAATACCCAGAATTGAGTCCATTGTGCTGGCCAGTGCCC